ATACACCATACATCTGAACAGTTAAAAGGTATAAACCAAGCTAACAGAATGATGGCTACACTGAGAGTATGTTTTATCCTACTATCTTGTAAAGATATCTTTGTAACTAATGACTTGGGAGCTCTTTAGCCTCTGGATGCCTCAGAGGCTGCCTGAGGATGGCAGCGTGAGAAGAGGCACACGGCCCTCACCCTGCCCCGCATCTCCTCCCAGCCCAGGCTCCGTTCTGCAATGGAGGCCTCACCTGCACAAAAGTGGAAATTCCAGGCCACACATCCATGCCACCCCTACCTGCCATGGCCACCCCGACCCCTGCAGAAGTAACAGTGAGCACACAGTCCACAGAGTAATGAGTGTGAATTTGGGCAGATGCCCACACAGACCCTGAAAACAGGCCTGCAGCTGTCTGGGCAAAGAATTCTAGGGACTTGAGTAGCCAGTAGGTTGTCTAGAATGGGGGACTTGGGCTGCCAGTGAAGGCACAACTTTGTCCCTTGGTCTTGTACTGTGGGGAAGGACAGAATTGGATGAGGATCCTTTAGGTCTAAGGGCAGTACTGAATAAGAACTCAGCAGGAAAAATGGTTAAATTACAGCAATATTAAAACATTCCCTATCATAGTGAATGTGTCACCTTGGAGTGAGATTAACATTTAAATTGAACTCAGGGTAAAGTGGATTGCCCTCCACTGGATGGGTGGGTCTCACCCAATCAGTTGAGGGCCTGAATAGAACAAAAAGACCAGTTTCCCTAAGCAAGAGAAAATTCTCCAGCAAAATGCCTTTGGACTTTATCTGTACCATAGGGTTTTTGGCCTGCAAGCCCACCCTGCAGTTTTTGGACTTCCCAAGCCTCTGCTATTTTTATCTCCCCTCCCCATCCCTCCCCTCCTCTCCCTCTCTCTAACGACACACACACACACACACACACACACACACACACACACACACACACACAACTGACTGGTTCTCTGGAGAACCCTAACTAATACATTACTCTCCCCAAAATCATAATTGGTTAAAGTTATTTTTCCTTCAACTTTATTTAAAAACAACCCTAATCAAATATGCTTTGTTTTTTCTGTCATAAAAAAGAATGATGTAACAATGTAAACAAAGACCTCTGTACAAATTTTATGTAAAATAAAAAGTACTTGACATTTTCCAAGTACTTAAAAAAAAATTCTATTCATTTTTCTAGCATGGCGAAATGCTTAACCATGCTGGTTTTGAGGGTGGTAGAACTGAAATGAATCTGGGTGTGAGAGGAACTCTACAGCATGAAATTATGCTCACTGAGACTAGGCCTCTGGGATGCAATGACTCTGGTTTTCTAAACAGAATATAAACAGAGAAACTTGCCTGTTCTTTGAAATTGTTATGCTTTTCAAGTTGTGTAGGACACATATTACAAAGATTGTTAAAAAGTTAGCTGGTTAGATTTCCTGTTTAAAATCAGCAGCTGCTTCTTGCTGGAACTGAAAACATTTCAGAGGAAGAACATGTATGGCATATAAGACAGAACAGCTGAGCAGCTTCTCATTAACCTACAGAGTGTCACAGAAAAGAAATGAACAAACTACTCTACCTAAGACAGTTACTCTTAAATGTTATTTAAAAATAATTTCCAGACTATTTTAATCTTTTCATTCTGAAAAAGAATTTCTTGTTTAATAGAATATATTCAGAATGTACAAAGCCTTATATAAAAGAAAACGAACATTCCAGGCAAGTCTAACACTCAGAGGTAGTAAACTATTAGAGTTTGGAGGTAATTTATTTTTTATACATTTTTTCAGATTAGCATATGCCAAAAGAGAGACCAGGATTTATATTTAAAAATACCAACATGACATCATGACAAACATCAGCTATTTAACTACCAATGATTTCCAGACTTTTAAAATAACAAGGGTGACACTTGCTTGTAGAAATTGGAAGAACAAAGAAATGCACAGAACAGCAACTAAAAGTGCCCCAATCCCAACTCTCACCCTCAGGTCCACGACTATTATATTTTCCTTGTAAGAAACAAAGCCAGGATTTTCAGTTACTTCTGTTTCTCAGTAGGTAAAGAATGTGGGCACCCTCTCCTCATCTAAAAGAAATTCTCCACAAAATAGTCAGTTTTATTTTATACCCTTATTCTAAAAATGCCATCTCCTCCTCTTTTCCACTCTAAAAAATACTTATCACAAATATTCCTATATTTCATTTCTTTAAAACAAATCCAGAGTTTTCCTTGCCAAAGTATTCCTCTTTCTTTTATCAACCAAAGAAAGCTTATGCTGGCCTCAGTCCCTTATCCAGGCACTGCATTTTAAATTAATACAAATGCTATGTATTTAGTGTCTCTCCTTCAAACAATCCCACCAGCTTCCTACAAGCATTGTCAATAACCTTTCAAGACACTACTTATTTTACTTGTGTATTTAATCACCATCCATCTTCCCAACTGGAATAGCTGACATTCTACCCAAGGACAGGATGTTTATATCTTTTCCTTAGTACTGCATCCCCAGCACCTAGAATCTCACTACACGGAACAGGCACTAATCAAATACTTGAATAAGTGGAGAAAAAAAAATTGAAGCAGCCACAGTAAGCAAAAATGTCTGTTGTTCCTGAAGTAAACATCTAGATTCACTAGTTTCTTACCTCATAAAGAGATAATTTGTTAAAAATTTAATTTACAAATGGTATTTATAGCTTAATATCATTCTTAAAAACACTACATAACAATATGACTTGATTATCTGAATATGAATTTTCTTATTTAGAAAATCAATGAGCTGAGACAGGTTTGGCTCAATGGATAGAGCGTTGGCTTGGGGACTGAAGGGTCCCGGGTTCGATTCCAGTCAAGGGCATGTGCCTTGGTTGTGGGCATATCCCCAGTGGGGGGTGTGCAGGAGGCAGCTGATCGATGACTCTCTCTCATCGATGTTTCTAGCTCTCTATCTCTCTCCCTTCCACTCTGTACAAAATCAATAAAATATATATTTAAAAAAAAAAAGAAAAAAAAGAAAATCAATGAGAAAGAATCATTCATCAGCTGCCTCCTATACCCCCCACACTGGGGATTGAACCTACAACCCCGGGTATGTGTCCTGACCGGAATCAGTGACTTCCTGGTTCATAGTTCCATGATCAACCATTGAGCCATGCCGGCCAGGCTTCTAATCTATTTTAAAAATTAAAACACCAATATAAGTACCAATTTGTTAATAAATTCAGTTGTTTCCAGGCAACAAAACCAGTAGGACATGTAAATATCCAAGGATATCTTCTTAACTAGGAAGTAGAAATCTTGTGAGATAGCCAAATTAAATGGAAAAAAGGGGTCTTATTTATTTCATTTTTCTTGAGCCAAAGTGCATCTGTATTAGCAGCCAGTTGCACTTTCACCACCGACTAGTAGGAAACTCATGGGAACAGAACTGCACAGAGAACAATGCATACAAACAATAAATTGGTGATGTTAAGAAAAAGAGCATCATATGAAATTAAATGGTTAATGTATTTTAGAAAAGAAAACTTAATAATTCAACAACAAGGTTTTCAATTAAACCTGGATTAAAAATAATACATTTTAGTGTTATTTTTTAACATGATAGACTTCCTTATGATGTAAGATTAAAGGACATTTTGCCTTACCGATTCAACTAATGATCTTGCCTTCTCTTGAGAACAATGAAAAGGACTATCACTTATCTCCAAATTTATGCTGCAAATGAGACAAGAATGTTTTTATTACACAGGATAAAAAAGGAACAATTACCCAAAAGAAAACCAAGTCCAAATATTCCACATGACAGTATGATTCTAGCTGGTGAAAAGGACCTGAATGACTATAAAGTAGGATAAATGTAGATTCTTGTACATTCTTTCAGACAAGGTTATAAATAAAAGTGCTCTGCAGTACTTCACACTCCAGAATTCAAAATAAAATTATACAAAAGTATACAAATTTCAATTGCATCCTGTTATATATAAAAGGCGGTAAGCTAAAACTACACTTCACCTTTATTGAAGGAAAGAAAAAAAATTTGACCCACAGAATGATGACTATAAGGACAAATTTTCTCTAATTGAGGAGATAAACACTAATTGGCCACTGAAAGGAAGGTATGGGAGATTAAGCCAAGAGTGGTGACAGAAAATCATATGACTATGAAAACTCCGTTTTCTCACAAGTAAGGAAGTTTGGTAAGGCATAAGTCACCAGCTCCTTCCATGATCAATAATGGTTCTACAGAGTCAAAGCTTCGCCACTCAATGGGACACGGTGCTGTCAATGCAGCAAGACACCCAGTACTTTGTCCTACCTCCTGCATCAAAGCAAAGGCATCATTCCTCTCAAACATAATTTCATCAAAAATATCAGATTAAAATGGATATAGAAAGAGGCAATAAGAAGAGAGTTAAAGCCCAGTTAATTTTTAATACAGAAGGAAAGGCCAGCCAACATGCTCAATGGTTGAGCTTCGACCTATGAACTAAAAGGTCATGCTGCAGTTCTGGTCAGGGCACATGCCTGGGTTGCAGGTTTCATCCCCAGTGTGGGACATGTAGGAGGCAGCCGATCAATGATTCTTTCTCATCATTGATGCTTCTATCTCTCTCTCTCTCTCTCCCCCCTCTTCTCTGAAATCAATTCAGAATCCTAAAGGAGACAAATAATAGATAAAACACACACACACACACACACACACACACACACACACACACGCCCCCTCAAGTAAATCTATAGATATACATTATCAAATTAATTTTCACAACGGTTTGTGAAATATGTCAGGATATCTATCTATCTATCTATCTATCTATCTATCTATCTATCTATCTATCTTAACTACATCTGTCTGTAATCAGACATTGGGTATAACAATTATACTAGCAAGTCAGTTTGCTTTCTATCCAGACTCAAGATGCGGGATTTTTTTTCATTCTTGACATGGATAAAATTGATGAAAGTTGGCATTATCATCTTTAAGACTATTTCTTCTCTACATCCCATGTTTATTTAAAAATTGAAAAAGGTAAAGCCTTATAAGTCAGATGAAAGTTTCCGTAAAGGAAGTTAAAACTAAATTTAAAAAGAATAAGGCAAAAAAATCAGACATTGCAGTCTGAAGTGCTAGTCCTCTGAAGAAACCATGGTGTATGGTAAATTCTATGTGCAATGTTTCTAAGATTAAAACTAAACCATCTATGGATGCTGAGGATACAAAGCTCCCATTGCACTCCAGAGCCCCTGTGGAGCTGACAATATTTAGGAAACATTTTAGCTCTCAAATCTGACCATAGCCTACAAGAGAAGCAGAAAAATCATTTAATGGAAAGATGACTAAGCTGATAGTGTCTACTACAAATAAGATTGAATATGACTACAAAGAATATGCTGCTTCCCTTTTAATAATAAGATACCAAATATTTTGCTGTAAACTTATAAACATTATATAGCCCACATACAATCTCGCTTACCAAAATAAGCAGACATGACATTAAAGCAACAGACAAGCAATACAAAAAATGCTATGTACAATAAGCCCAAATTGCATTAAAAAATAATAAAAGGCATATTAGTAGATATATAATAGGGTAAAACTAATTGATTAAATAAAAATAGAAAAAGAAATTACCTGCAAATAATGAATAGACACATAAAAGATGAAATTTACGGCCAGCAATATAGAGCATTAGTAAAGAGAAAATTTTTTTTTCAAGACCATCTCAAATCAGACAAAGGCTCAAACTCATGAGAATCCTCAAATCCAGGATATAGCTTTGCCCAGGCTTTTCATTCTACAGCAAAGTAGTCAAGAAAATAGGAGAGACAGGGAGACAGGTAGAGAAGAAGGGAGGGAAGGAGGAAGAGAGAGAGGGGAAAGGAGGGAGGGGAGAGAAGAGAATGACAATGATTTTGGACTATAACCTCCAGAGTTTGTAGAAGCGACACTGCAGTAAATCTATACGAAGTTAAAAGAATTGGAGCTATCTGTATAAGATCAAAAAGAAACAAATTTAAGACCTAAACAATTTGGATACATTTTTTTTTTCATTCAGTAAACATAAAGTTCCTATCAAGTCCTGTCACTAACTGCTAAGGTTCAAACTCAATTTAGAGAAATAATAATAATAATAATAATAATAATAATAATATATAATATAGCGGCCCAAGTTCTTCAGAGGGGTGTGTACAGCTTAGGTGATGTAATAGCCCAGGTGAGAGGACAGGTAATTCTGGCCAGGAAAAAAAAATTCTTTGCAGACTACATCTTGGAGAATGAACAATCTTTCATTGAGGAAAGACAGTGAGATGAAAGGGGACAGACATGAGGCTGATCAAGTAGGTTTTGACATGTTTAAAAAATATATATTTTTTATTGGTTTTTTACAGTGAGGAAGGGAGAGAGATAGAGAGCTAGAAACGTGGATGAGAGAGAAACACCGACCAGCTGCCTCTTGCACACCCCCCACCGGGGATGTGCCCACAACCAAGGTACATGCCCTTGACCGGAATCGAACCTGGGACCCTTCAGTCCGCAGACCGACGCTCTACCACTAAGCCAAACTGGTTTCGGCAGGTTTTGACATGTTTAATGTGTGGGAGAGCTGGGTCATATTCTATCATCAATGGGAAGGAACCACATAAGTTTTTAAGAAGAAAAATGACAATCACATTTGTAATTTTCAAAGATAATTTGGACAATACTATATAGAACATATTAAACAGGAGAGTAGTTGCAATACAAAATAATTTATGAGTACAAAAATGATAACGGAATTAAAGCAGTTTTGCAACTAGAAGGGCATTTGAGAAGCAATAAAAACTTGAAAAACTGCATCACAACAAATAATCGTTAGTGAAATAAAATAAACTGATAAAAAGAATAGTACACTTCAGATTTCTGAAAAATAAGATAGATAAATAAACTGTGACTTGTAAAGAGGGTTGGAGGCATTTAAGGTTAAACCAAAATGGCAAAAAAAATAAATAAATAAATATCCTGTTTATCCTACAAAGAGTTTAAAATTATCTTAGGTAAAAAGAGAATGAAATTCTTTCTGTTAAAAAATATGTCACTTTCAGAGTAAACATTAAACAGTGGGACCAAAATAATAAAAATAACAAAACTTACTGTGAAAAAGATAATTACTCAAAATACCAATGAAAGAATTTAATAAATGCAGTGCTCCTGGAAACAGAAGAGTCACTACTAGATTAAAAACACAACAAATATTTGTTGGCTTTAAAGTATTATTCAACAGTTTACTTCCAAGGGAATTTATTAATGTCAGAAGAGAAATAAAGATGGTTAAGGCAGCTTTTTCCAGTTGCTTTTAAGGAACTTCTAGAAGACATAAATTCACAAACTAAGTACAACAGTCCCCCATGAACTTGAGGGGATCTGTGCCAAGATCCCCAGTGGATGCCTGAAACCACGGACAGAACTAAACACTCTATACATTGTTTTTTCCTATGCATACGTACCTATAAATTAAATGAGAAATTAACACTAACTAGAAATAAAGTAGATCAATTATAACAATATACTCTAACATACGAGGTGTACCAGTTACTAATGTGGATTTTTTTTAATAGATGGCGTTACACATATGTTGATATATATGCAATATGATATGGATGCTACTTTGTTGTATTGACAGCAAGCTTCAAAACTTCATGTGTCAAATTTGCTGAAATGTTAACATCATAGATATTTTTACACTTAAAAATGTCAAATTTCATGCCAATAAAAGAGCATTTGCGGGAAGTTTTAATTTATTATTTTGAAGAAAAGTGCTGCTGAAAGTTATCATATACTTTGGGAAGCTTATGTTGAACATGCTCCACCTCAAGATACTTGTGAATGCTGGTTTAAACGCTTTGAAAGTGATGATTTCTATGTGAAAGACAAAGAATGTCCAGGTCAACCGAAAAAGTTTGAAGACCAACAATGGAGGACAATGTGAGATTTTATCACACTACTAAGAACAGTGTTGATTTAAAACTTATAATTATTTTTCTGGAATTTTCCATTAATATCTCAGACCACAGTTGACTGCAGGTAACTGAAACGGAGGAAAGTAAAGCCATAAATAAGGGAGTGGGGGTGGGGGGCTATTCTAGTTAATTACAATGATATAAACACACAGAGGGAATACTGAGTGTACTGGCACCTTAGCTAGCATTGCGGCTTCTATAAGGGAAAGTTTCCTAGAGAAGATGCATTCAAAGATAAGTCTTAAAAATGAGAAAGTTAGGCAGTTCACAAAATAAGAAGATAATCAATGTCAAAGGAAACAGAGTCATCGCTAGCAGTCAATAACCATGGTGTATATGAGGAGTGACAAGCTGTTCTCAATTGTTGGAAATAAGAAATAAAAGACATGAAATGATGTTATGTGAGACCAGACCAATCTTGAAAAGCCTTGTGTGTTCTGGAGAAAGTTCGTATTTTATGGTTCACACACACACAGAGGCTTGTTAGGGGCTTTAAAAACATATAAAAGCTTAGAGATCCTAATTCAATGCAGTTAAGTTTTCTCACAGTTTCCCTTGGTAATTTTGATGGACTGTATTGTTTAGAGAACCGCAATGATAAATAATGTGAAACTAAACTGAACAAAGTGGGGAAAACAGGTTAAAAAGGGAAGAGGAGACAGGGTACAAACTCATCTATAACAGAATATTTTAAGGAACTGAGAGAGAGAGGGAATTTGTTCACTGAAAGCAAAGAATATGAAATGTAACAATTTTAACTATATTTCACAAGTCAAGTACTGATAAAAATAAAAATTAAAAAAATGAGTTAAAATTTTAAAGATTTTGTCTTTAAATGACCTAGACACATATAATTTATATCCAGAATGTATGGGCTGATAATTTTTAAGCCAACAAAACTTATTTTGTTGTATTCTTTAAAATGGTACAGGTAGCCTGACTGTGGTGGCTCAACGGTTGAGCATCAACCTATGAACCAGGAGGTCACAGTTTGACTCCTGGTCAGGGCACAAGCCTGGGTTGTGGGCTCGATCCCCAGTAGGGAGCATGCAGGAGGCAGCCAATCAATGATTCTCTCTCATCATTGATGTTTCTGTCTCTCTTTCCCTCTCCCCTTTTCTCTGAAATCAATAAAAAAAAAAAAAAAAAAGAAATAATAATAAAATAAAATGGTAGAGGCAAGTTACAGCTGTTAAGTAAACAGACTTGGAACTTGGCTTAAATCCTGGGTCCACCACCCAGTGAGACCTTATTAGACCATTCAATCTTGTGGTTTCAATTCCTCATGGGAAAAATGGAGATGTACTAGGTTCTGGTGAGTATTAATGAAATAACATATATAAAACACATAGAACCTGGAAGATAGAGTTCAATAAATGTCAACTCTTACTAATGTAATCCTAATCATTACCAAAAACTAGAGCAAAATAATGCCAGAGCTTAAAAACAGCCACCCTCAGAATGAAGATAATTAGAATCAGCACCGAAGGAATGATATCAAACAGTAGAAAAGCTAACCAAAGAGATGGTCTCCAGCTGTGTAGCTGAGGAAGCCTGGGAAAAACGCAAGTCCCTCAAGGTCTGCAGGAGCTGTTCAGTTAGTATGATTAGCAAGGAGATAAGTAAGGAAGTGAACAGCAAGCAAATACCTCTTCAGACAATTAGAGATCCCTTCTTTTAGCTTAGGGGTGTCGAACTCAATCAGAGAAGGGGCCAAAATCTAAAATCCAGCCTAAATCTCGGGCCGAATGGTTTACTGAACAGTCATAAACTGTCATTGTGATGGAAACGCAGCGGAGTGCAGTGATGACAGCGCGGTGCGGGCCACATTGCAAGGCCTGGCGGGACGGATTTGGCCCGCGGGCCTTGTGTTTGACACATGTGTTTTAGCTCATCACATTGCTAGCTGACTTCGAGTGCCTGACCATGAAGAGTAACTCAGTTTACCAGTTACTAGGATAGTCAGGATTGGAAGACTTTGTTGTTAATAAATTAAACTATCTAAATTAGGAAAAAACTACCTAAATTTTAAGAATATGCTGATAAAAAGAGAGACTAGTCTGCACAAGAGATAATAAAATGGGGAGGAAGATATTGGAATTGAGGGTGTTACATCAGCCTGCACGAGAAATAGAATCTGAAGCTATAATGCCCAAGCATTTGTGCCACAGGTAAGATGAGCCCTTTGAAGACCTGGATAAAATATTCCTTGAGACTATTTCTTTCCTTCGTCTGACTAATTTATTCTAATGATTGCTCTAATGTCTCTTTTGATTCCAGACTCTATGCTCCAAAAGAGCAGGGACTGCTGATTGTATTCACAGCAGTAATCCTGGTACCAGGACAGTGCCTGGCAGCAGACCCCCAGTCAGTATTCGCTATAAGAGAATGGCTTTCCAATTTCTCCTGGTTCAGAGAAGTGGGGCAGTATCTACTCTTGAGGACGTCATGTTGGGCTCACCAACAGTCAATTGTTTTTGTTCCCAGACTTATTTATGTCTGTTGTCTTGGTTGTTATTATTTCATAATTTGAGCAGTAATTATGCTCATAGATGAAGAGAGAGTGGAAAGAGAATTGTTTCTATGAACACTAAAAGTAGAGTCTAAGGCTCTAAAACTTATGAGGCAGTAAGCACTATTGGGGCTCTAAAAAGCCTGAATAAAAATGAATTACTATAAAAAAAAAACTTGATGGCAAAATCAGGTATGAAATAAGGCAATTGTAAAAGGTTAGAAAAAAACACACCCTTCAAATCTATAAAGGTTTTTCACTGTAAGGAGTTTAAGGGTTATAGGATCTGATCTTTATTCTTATTATACATTGCATTAGAATCTTACATAATAGATAATATGCAAATTGACCCTCACACCCTCACAAGATGCCTGCCTAAGACCAGGCCGGTAGGGGGTTAGTGAGGGATGACCAAATATCCGAACAGCAGGCTGTGTGGGGTGACCAGGCGGGGGGGGGGGGGGGGGGGGGGGGGGGGCGGGGGGGGGAGGTTGGGGGTGACCAGGACAGCAGAGGGGGGGGCAGTTGGGGGCGATCAGGTCAGTGTGTGTGTGGGGAGGGAATTAGGAGTGACCAGGCAGGCAGGCAGATGAGTGATTAGGAGCCAGTGGTCCAGGATTGTGAGAGGGATATCTGACTCCAGTTTAGGCCTGATCCCCAGGATCTGCCCTAAACTGGAAGTCAGACATCCCCCAAGGGGCCCCCGATTGGAGAGGGTGCATGCTGGGCTTAGGGGACCCCCCTTCCCCCCAATGCATGAATTTCATGCCCCAGGCCTCATATATATATAATCTACATGGAATGGATACAGAAAAGATCTTAGCCTTATATTTAGGGATAGGCGAATAAATGTACATTTAAATGTTTTAAAGTAAAATAAATAACTGATTATATATATTATTGTTGTTTGATTCCTATGAACCCATCAGCTAATGATCCAGATCCTGTTGGGTAAGAAGGCTTTTTTGTTCTTATTAAGAAACTTGAGGCTCAGTGCATGAAATTCGTTCCCTCAGCTCAGCCTGCACCCTCTCACAGTCTGGGACCATCGGGGGATGTTCCCACAGGGAGCAGGCCTAAGCCAGCAGTCAGACATCCTTAGTGCTGTCGTGTTGGCGGGAGAGGCTCCTGCCACTGCCTCTGACCTCATAAGCCATGACCTTGGCTTCTGGCCAAGCAGCGCTCCCAAGGGGCAGCTCCTGTATTGAGCATCTGCCCCCTGGTGGCCAGTGTGTGTCACAGTGACCAGTCATTCCGCCATTTGGTAGATTTGCATATTAGCCTTTTATTATATAGGATGGTGTGGTAGCTACAAGATAAATAAAATAACTATATGCTTGCATGTTGAAAAATTGTTAATGTTTTTTCACTCCATCATTGCACATAGCACAATATATTACAATAACCACTGATACTATAAATGCCCCCACTAAACCTTAAGTCCCTTGAAAAAACAAAACAAAAAGTCAATTACTAGTTTCATGGTGCCCAGCACTTAGTAATGACTTCCAAATAGGTGCTCTGTAAATATTCAAGTGGAAAAAAAAAAATTGCAACTTCCTTTAAAAAAATCAGATCTGAGTAGTATTATATTTATTGCCAATGAATAATAACAAAATGTAAAATGACAAATTCTTACCAATTTATAGACCCTCCATCACTCTTCCTCATAAGCAACGCTTTCCAACTTTCATGTGCAGATTTAATAACTTCAAAAGCAAAAGCCTAATTCCAAACCAAAAGAAAAAAAAAAGTCATAGCAATCATCACATCATTATATTATACTAATATTCCACTCACTATCAGAACATGAGCTGAGGAGCCAGGCAAACTTGAGTATAAATTCTTGCATCCTTATTTACCAGCAACTTGACTTTGGGCAAGTTGCTTAATCTCACTAAATCTTAATTTCTCCATCTATTAAATGGAATGGAGTGGGGATAATTGGAATCAGGGGTTGGCAACCTAAAGCCTGGGGGCCAGATGCAGTCCGCCTCTGTTTTTGTAGATAAAGTTTTACTGAACAATTTTATACTTATACTTAATAATCCTATACAAAAGCCTTAGATCTTAAAGGTTCTTTTAATAAAGGTTCTTAAAAAAAAATATGGGGTCTAGCAATAAATTCTTATATAGCAAAATACTTATTATAAATGCTATTTTTATTTATTTATTTAAATATATTTTTATTGATTTCAGAGAAGAATGGAAGGGAGAGATAGAAACATCCATGATGTGAGGGTCACTGACTAGCTGCCTCCTGCACGCCCCTTCTCCCCGCCACCGGGCATTGATCCAGCAACCAGGGCATGTGCCCTGACCTGGAATTGAAATGTGACCCATGCTGGCTGGGCCTTATTGCAAATTTTAGTTGTCATTAACATGGCTTACTTATTAAATATAATTTATTTATTAGCACCCACTTAAAGGTTGGTTTATAATTCATAATTCATATAGTGGTAATAACTTTAAAATAACTCTCTGGCCTATTTTCTCCATTTGCGTCATATTAGAGACAGTTTATGGTATTCTATTAAAAAATTCTATGACACTGAGATAATTCAAATACTTTCTTAAATTAGCAGCTTGATTTAGTCATGGTAAAATGAGCACATAGGAGACAAGCCCCTATTGATTTATACTAATAGTAAGTAACTGTGTCCTCTCCAGAATAGTAAATAGAAGGTTTTTCTTCATAGAGAATTTGAAGAATTGGACTCATCATGGAAATCCCTCATTTTTTTTTAGATGAAAAAGATATCTATAGATAAATAGATGGATATAGATCTTTACCAGCCTACTGATTCACTGAGAGATCTCCTGGAAAAAAATTTTAATGAAAGTGATGAAATAATGTCCTTAAGTATAAAAATTATTAAAACTTTTGCTATATACAAAATATTCATATAAGAAATCCCAAACGTGAAAAGTATTGTACAGGTATTACACGGTACGTTTTAAAATAAAGAGTATCATCTTCACCTTGTTTTTGAATTCTCCATTAAAAGCAAACTGGTTTTCTGGTTTTCCCTCTGGCACCTTATAAAATCTAAACCAATTAAGTGTAGCTTCCAAATAACCTGGTTTGTACTTCCGTACATCATTAATATCTGTAAGTGAAGAAACAGGAAGACTTTTGTTAAAAATAAAAATTCATTCCTTATAGAGCGTGGGATTGAGGGAGCCAAAAAAACACAGGGTCTATTCTGACTCTGCTAACAAGGCATAATCGTCAACATATGTCTTATCACTTCCGGACTTCGTTTTGTAACACGAATATTACTACTTCATTCTACAGACACTTCTTGAGTATCTTCAGACACTATGTTAGGTACAGGAATGAGAACAGCCAAGTTCTTTTCCTCAAGGAGTTCAGAGGTCTAAGGAAAGAAACAAATAGACAACAAAATGTAATGCAGTAAGAAGAATTAGTGTGAGGCCATCCTGCTGGCAATGAGGGCTAAAGTAGGGAAAGTTATAACATCAGGATCAGTGCTCAAAAATATTACACTAAAGGAACACTGAATATGAAAGGAGAGGGTAGTACCCAGAAGAGAACATACTAAAGTTGGGTAAGAAAGGTTTCATGAACATATGTACCAAATATTTAGTAAGTTTCTCATTCATTATGTGTCAAATAGTGTTCTAAACAGTGAGAGAACAGTTCATGGAAACAAGTTTCTACTCTCATGGCTTGCACAGTAGGAAGAGACAAATAACAAATAGAAAAACAAACACATAAATATATTCAGCGGCAAAAAAGAATGATGAGGAAAATAAAGCAGAGTAAGAAAGAATGAAGACAGGGCAACTTTAAACAGGATGATACATAGATGGTGCAGAAGTTTTAATTCCAGAATCTTTAATGATTTACAGGATTTATTTTTAAGTTCTGTTACCATATAAACAGCTTGACCATTACATTTCGAGAGCATTCATTTAAAAATAACTGGTTATTACTGTATTAATAGACCCCCCCTACATAAAGGTTCCCAAGATATATATCCTTTCCAATAAATATCAATTGAAAAAGTATGAGGAATAACTAGGTAAAACTAGAAGCCTTAGGCTTAGAGAAACCAAGATGGTGGCAAAGATAAACACCTAAACTTCTGCCTCGAATAATTTCAAAACTACAACTAATGGACAAAATGTCTATCACCCAGAACCATGGGAAAGCTGCCTGAGTGGAAGTTCTACAACTAGAAGGAAAGAGAAAAGAGCATTCAGTGCACAAGCGCTGAAAAGCTGAGGTACAGAGGCATGCGAATTGGGCTGGTGGCAAGCGACTAGATGTGCTGCTTTTTTTCAACCTGAAGGGAAATAAGCTCCTGATTACTCTGAAATCCAGTTTTGGGGGAGATGCCAGGGACCCAAACTCCTACGGGGAGAAGCTGGACTGTCTGCCATAGGGTCGGAAAGTGAAGGTGGCTTTCTTAAAGAGGTGTGCCCAGCAATCATTGTTTACTGTGCTGGAGTGTGGGACGCGGGGATTTGGAAACACAGAAAGTCAGAGAAGGCTGCCTGGCAACCAGTGATGTCTGAGGCTACCCAAGAGCAGCTACAGCAAGAACTATCATTTTCTCCTCTTTGTTTGGGGTTTGGAAGTTTTGGAGCTGTCTGACTGGAGCTGAAGTTTATTTGGATAAGCTGTGATAGGGCAGCCCATTTATATGCAAAAGCCGCTGTGCGAGATTGGGTGTGTTTGTGGATTGTGTGGGATGGGGTCTCAGGGCTTCACTAGCCTAGGGCGTGGCAAACAGCCCATCCTGGTTAATTAGCATATTTCCTATCTATCTATCTATCTATCTATCTATAATATAATAGCAATGACAAACAGACTTGGTAATATTGAAAAATTAGAAAGTTATAACTATAAACCAGAGAAGACACCATGCATAGGGATTATTTAAAGATTATATGATTTCAGACTTGCTCATCCAAGCCTTGTGGGAATCCTCACTCACTAGCCAGGCCAGGAAAAGGTAAGCATTTTTATGCTTGCCTTTGCCTGTTATGTAAAGGTTTAGCAAGAGTTATACATGCCTCCAGAGGCCAGGTGTTTCACACAGTGAAATGAGTGTGGTAAGGCAGAAACCATAGGCATGGCAGAGACCATGGCAAACAGAAGATTGAGTATGCTGACTAAAGGCACTCAAAATTAGAATGTTACAATATGCCAGTAGGCCATATATCTAAGGTAATTTTGGAGCAAATAGCAGGAACATTACAAGGAAGGGGGAAAAGAATCACTTGAAATTGAACACCGGCTATACTTACTCTATTAATTATCTTACCTAATAAAGAGGGAATATGCTGATTGACCTTCATGCAATTGCAAAGATAGTGCGCCCACTGCCAATAAGGAGGGAACATGCTAATTGACTGCTCCACACTCAAAAATGGTGGTGGCCACAGCCACAAGATGGTGGCGTCCAGTCCCCTCAGTCCCACTGAGGCACCTGCCTCTGTATTCCCCCAGTTCCCTCAGCCCCCCAACCCGCCAAGGCTGGCCCAAGGTGCAGGCAAACTTCAGATGTCAGCTGCCCAGCCGCCCAGGGCCGGCCTGAGGTGTAGGTAAGCCTCAGATGGAGGCTGCCCAGCTGCCCAGGGCTGCCTGAGGCTGCAGCAGAGGTGTGATGGGGTGTCACCTTTCCCTGATCACTGGGCCACGTCCTGCCCCCGAGGGCTCCCAGACTGTAAGAGGGGGCAGGCAGTACAACTGAGGGGACTTAACAATGGGTTGGGGAGGTGGGGGAGGGGGGGGAGTAAGACCAACAAAAACCAGTTAGGATTAAACTTATATAAAACTTAAAAGTATCAAAGAGCTAAAAGGGACTAGTCTGTAAAATTTGGTAAAAATAGTCACCTGACGGAGAAGAGAAGCTTCTATTCCAAAAATATGTGGGATTTTTCTCATACATGCTCCAGAAAAAGAAAAAAAAAAACCCTATATATATAAAGAAGAAACTATAAGTACATTGAACGTCTTAAAAATGAATGCCACTATGCAAGGACAAGTCTGATGAAAGACTAAAATGATCTTGGAGAAATGGCCTGATATAAAACTAGACAAATTAGTCAGGAATCCACCAGAAGAGATAAAAAGTACTTGTAATTCATAACAAAATCAGTAACACTAAGAATTTAGACAGTCATCTTGAAAGAGAGGATCAAATGCTCAGTGAGGAAAAAATGGGCTCCCAACCTAAGTTAAAAATAAGAACAGTAGGGCAATCTAGAACACACGGGGAAATAGAAAGTCACCCAGGTATGTATCACCCTAGTTTTTTTTTAAAAAGCTTCATAAAAGGTATCATAACTTCTATCAAATTGTGTGCAGCCATCGTTTACCTTATTACGGGTTTATTTTAAAATTTGAAGGTTTAATTAACAAAAATTACATGGAATTGCCTTTAGAGAATATTTATAGTAAAATGAAAGGTATTAAGATTTATAAAAATAATCATAGTTCTAAATAAATCCACTGAAAATTTTATACATTTCTTTACTAAAAAAGCAAAACAAAAATAATGATGAAATAAAACAACAAATTTTACAGTTTAATTTGGTTTTACCAAATCTGAGCTCTCCATCTTAATTTCATTAAATATTTTTATTAATTTTAGAAAGGAAGGGGGTAGAAGGGGGGGAGGGGAAGAGAGAAAAAGAGAGATCTAAAACATGAGAACTTTTGTATCTAATTCAAAGTACCAATAAACTTTAAAAATGATTATATATTGCTGAAGCCGGTTTGGCTCAGTGGTAGAGCATCGGTCTGCGGACTGAAAGGTCCCAGGTTCGATTCCGGTCAAGGGCATGTACATTGGTTGCGGGCACATCCCTGGTAGGGGGTGTGCAAGAGGCAGCTGGTTGGTGTTTCTCTCTCATCGACGTTTCTAGCTCTCTATCTCTCTCCCTTCCTCTCTGTAAAAAAAATCAATAAAATATATTTTAAAAAAAGATTATATATTAAAAACAAAGAAATTAGACGTATGAGGTTATTATAATTCAGTAAATCTAAAGATCAACAATGAACATTTTAAGTAATTCTCTTACCCATCAACAGAGAAACACACCCAGCCCCCCTCCACCCAAGTACACATATAATTTAAAAATATTTAAGCAAACAAAAAAGGAAAAACATACTCTTGCTTAATAAGTAACTTTTGGTCCTAAGAATATTCAGGAAATGATTACAATAAGAACACTCAGAACCTTTAAAAGAAGAAACAAGGTACACTAGGAAAAACATCCTGTTTGGATTAGACAGCACTAAATTCAGACTCCAGTTCTGGCACTCATATACTATTGAGTCATCTTGGAAACATAAATTACTTGTCTGAATCTTCAGACATAAAATAAGAGAATGAAGGTTGTTGTGAGAATAAATAAGGTAATATGTGAAAATCATCTAATTAAACATAAGGGTTAATTCTTTTTTGAAATTTTTTTCCTATTGATTTCATAGAGGAAGGGAGAAGGAGAGAGAAATGGAAAGATCAATGATAAGAGATAATCACTGATTGGCTGCCTCCTACATGCTCTCCACTGGGGATGGAGCCTGAAACCAGGGTGAGCGCCCCTCCATTGGAATCAAACCCTCAGTCCGCAGACCGATGCTTTATCCACTGAGCCAAACCAGGTAGGGCAGGATTTGTCTTAACAAATATTAATTACCAGCCCTCTTATCCTCTAAAATCTTGTCCATGGGATGCAGCCAAAGTAATACTCAGAGGTAAGCTTTATCTCTCAACATTAAATCAACAGAACAACAAGAAAAGCCCAGAGTAAGTTGAAGAAAGGAAATAATAAAGATTAGAGCAGAAATAAACAACAGAGACTAAAAAAAAATAATAATACAAAAGATCAATGAAACCAAGAGCTAGTTCTTTGAAAAGATAAACAAGATTGATGACGCATTAGCCAGATTCATCAAGAAACAAAGAGAAAAGACCCAAATAAAATCAGAAATGAAAGCCAAGAAGAAATAACTGACACCACAAATATATGAACAGCTATTTATGTCATCAAGCTGGACAATGTGGTGAAATGAAAAAATTCCTAGAAAAAAATACAATCTCCCAAAACTGAGTCAGGAAGAATCAGA